TATATACCTCAAAAAATTTGTACATTATCTGGCTTCAACATGCTGAAGTCGGATTTGAAATATAATCATCCAGTTAATTTTAAATCCAATAATGCCGACGTAAGTTTTGGTTGTCAGGATCTGTATAACTGTTTAGCAAAAAACATTAATTGTGTAATTAAAATTATTGTATGCTACAGAATCCAATTAAAATGTAAATAAAATACATTATTGTGTTAATTGTAATAATATTTATTGACAACGAATTCAAAAACTTTCTAAAATATAAATTAAGTTTATTTATTATCTATATTTATATACATATGAACTTTTCATTATGTATTTACATTAATTAAGTCTAAATTTATAGTTTTTTATATTTATAGAAATATTTAATCTTTAATGTATGCGTTTATGTGGATTAAATTATTTTTCTAATTATAACTTTTGTTACAATTATTAGAATCACAAACACGTAAAGTTTTTCACCCGAACGTATGTTTTTGTGTTGAATTAAACATTAAATTAGATTGAGTTTTGAAGTGATTTTTTGCGACAATTTTCTTCATTACATTTGAATCCCTTTTCTTTCAAAGGAACACAACTTTTGTGTTAAAATTCACTGTTTTTACATTTAAAGCTTCTGAATACAACATGTTCAATTATTACAAATGATATAGATTTATAAATAATTGTAGTTTTATTTACAAATAATTTACTAATTGTTAAAAACATGTTTGTGATTCAAATGTAGTGTTAATTCCTGTTTCGTAACAAAGCGTTGATTACAGTTATTATGAATACATTTATGAAGTTTTATATTCAGATGTCTTTTCGTATGATCTTTAAAATTAGATTTATGTGTAAAACTTTTATTACAGTCATTGAAATGACAAATAAATGGTTTTTCTCCCGAATGAATGCGTTTGTGTCGATTTAAGTCTATTTTTGAAGAAAATTTTTTGTCACAATTTTTTTCATTACATTTGAATTTCTTTTCATTCAAATGAACACGATTTTTGTGTTGAAATAAATGTGATTTTTGTGTAAAACTTTTGTGGCATTCATTGAAATCACAAATAAATCTCACATTTTATCACTGATTTTACATGAATTGCAATCAATTGTTTGATTGATTGAAAAATAATCATTATTTTCNGCATTTTATCACTGATTTTACATGAATTGCAATCAATTGTTTGATTGATTGAAAAATAATCATTATTTTCGCATTCAATCGCTTCACACAAAACACTATTATTTGTATTCAAAATACACTGAATTTTGTCTATTATTTCACACAAACTCTTCATTGCATTGAATTTACTCTTCATTTCAATCAACGAAACACTCATCAATTTTGAACACATTTTTATTTAAAAATATTTTGTCACTCGTATCACAAGAATACCTTCTGAACACTAAACCACTGTATGATTGAATCAAATGCACTGTATTTTCTTCATAGCATTCAATACCTGAAACTGTGGCCTATTTTAGGACACTTTTATAATCCCTATTCATTGCCTGCCTTTGGAATGACTGGTGAAGCGATGGATTGCATACAATGTCTCACAACTCAATTCAATACCCATTGTTCCTAATCTTCCCTCTCTTTCTCAGGAAAGGCCAGTGAATGCCAGTGAAGGGCCAGTTGTGGTGATCACTGCTATATATCGACTCTCAGTCCCGGGCGGTATCTTGTCTTCAATATCATGTCTCCGCCTAATGTGCGAATCCAATCAGCTTTGAGTGCAGAAAGTTTTGACACACTTTTCGTAATCGCATTTCAATGCTATCGTTGGCCGCAATTGTTGTACAAATCGGTCGACAATAGACTCAAAAGTCAGTGAAAGACTGAAAACATAAGAAACCAATTGTTTTTTTTTGTTGAGATAATTTATGACATATTTTGAAAAATCATTGCATGTCTTCAGAGAAATATCATTTAAAATAGAAATGACTATACAATGTATACTGCATTTAAATAAATTAATGCAAGCATTAAATTAAATGATACGTTAAAATAAATCTAGATTAAATATGCAATAAATCCTTGTTTTTAAAACTTTACTTTCATTTGTATTTGAATTGAGTTTTGGTTTCAAATATTTTGGAAATACTTTTCTTAGAATTTAATCCATTATTAAACTATAAAATAGTTTCTCTTTTTCTATACTTTGACCTAAACTTTGAACACTTTATAGTATAGTATTAATTAACACATATAGGTGAGAGAGGGAGGGAGAGAGAGAGGAAGAGAGAGAGTGAGTGAGTGAGAGAGAGAGAGAGAGAGAGGCCGGCAGAGACAGACTGTCGGGCACTAGTCAATAAAAATAATCATAAAAACAAACATTAAGGTAAATTTAGCATTAAGCTAAACAAACTAAATAATAAAGCATTTGAACTGTTAAAGTGGATCAAGTGCTCAAAGAGAGTGGACTCATCTCTCAATCATTGCTTTCATTCACTCTTAAATCCAATGTTTTAACACTTTTTTTGAATTTGAATGTCATTTAATGCTATTTTACTGTAAATTGAAGTAATTTTTGGTAACAATTAATGACAATTCAAACATAAGTCAACTCTAATTGATCGCCAGTTTTTGTTGCGGTTATTTTTTTGAACGCCAGATATGTTTACCACAAACAGAGAGTCGGACGACAGCGACGTCGAGATCGTGGCCATCGTCTCCGCGCCCACCGCTCAGACCACAGGCGCCGCCACTGCGCGCCACTGGTCATCAAAGCTCTCACCGCCGCCATTGTTAACATCATTACCGCCAATACAATCACCGATGGCTTCACCAGTTCCACCGCCGCCACCACTGATAGCCGTAGACACAGTCCGACGGGCGCTGACGGGCGCGCAGAACGTACCCAATGAGCGGCGACGGCTGTCAGTGGCGTCGGACACCACCAGTCCTACCGTAACACCCCATACGTCCGATACCGAAACGGATACCGACTTTGATGACAGGTATGTCCGCAATCGTTGATCAAACCGCTCGACACTAACTGTTGATCTGTTGAAGTGAATCAAGTATTGAGTGGTTAGACCCGTCTGATAATGACCTCCCGGCCGATGGCCTGTTCAGCAACAGTTTGGCCACCGATAAGCCCATGGAATCGCTTCCCGATAGTGATTATTACGACCGGTTTGACTCATTGGTGGGCCGGGTGTCGGGTCTGTTGAATGCCTACACCGCTGCCGATGATAGCGAAGTTAAGCCAGTGATCGGCTCTGAAGATCATACGTGAGACCTGATTAATGACATTGTTTTTTGCATATTTACTGATTGTTTATTGTATTCATTGATTGATTTAAACAGTGGTAAACCCAATCTCATATTAAATGCCTGTTCAGCACCGGGTGATAGTAAGCCAGAGTTTGTCGGCAAACCAGTGGTCAAGCAGTCAAACACTGATGTGTCCGCCACTGTTGACCAAACACTGGTCGACGTTAAACCACTGCTAACCGGTCCGAGACTACAGCCAGTGTCTGACCAGTCATTGGCCGTCACTTTAAACACTCAAACCAAAGACACGGCTAGTGTTGAACCAATTGTCGCTCAAATACCGGCGCCACTGATTGGCAACAATAACACATCAAAATCTGGTCAACAATCATGTGTTGGCACAACACCTATCGGTGCCCTCATTTCAAACACCGTCACTAATCATAAGTATTTGAAGTGTTTTTAATCAATTAAAATATAAATTAATTTTTATAACTTATATGTTATCATAAAAATAGTGACATAAATACTGTCAAAGAAGTGGTCAAATATCCCGTCAAACTTTTGGTGACAATCCCTTTGGCTTTCCGGTGCCAATACAAGCGGTGCGGCCGACGATTCGCCAGTCAGTCGGCGCTCGACGACCACAATGAGAACAAACACTCCGGCGATTATCACAAATGCGATGACAAAGACTGCGGACAAAGTTTTATCACCGAATCGTTGTTAAATCAGCACAAACTGCGGGACCATTCAATGCCCGAACCGGTGGTGACCGGCGACTACCGGCTCTGTGGGTCAGATGTGGACATAAACCCACCTCTTAATGACCAATCGGTGCCCAAACCAGTGTCGAGACTATTTGAATGCGATTATAAGGATTGTTTCGGAATGTGTGCCACCGAAGAGATACTGCAGAAGCATAAGAGAGTCCATCAAATTCCCGGTCAGTTGTCGTTGACTCGAGAACTGCCCGCTGTTTCCATTGATAACACTGTGCCTAAAGTATTGCCCAACACTTCCAGTGATAGTACAGTAGTTGAAGCACTTCCAGGTCTTTCCAACGATAACCTTATGGCCAACGCATCCAATGGGTACTCGTTTTATTCATTAGTGTTTATTACAAAACTAATTCATATTTAAATACAAAACAGTGACGTAAGCGCTGATGGCTTGGGTTTGGCTGACATACCTGTGCCCACACCGGCCAACGTCGAGAATAGTAGCCGATTATGGGATACACTGTTAGGAGTGGTCAGTCGGCCGCCGGCCGTCACCATAACCCTCACCGACTCAGACATGAGTGATGTTATTCCCGATACTATTCCAGCGCTCGACACCATCGCCTCGAAAACCGGCGATAAGTCACCGATCGGTCCATTAGTGCCGCCGCCGTTACCGCCGCTCAGTTTATTGACTGTACCACTGGTGTCGCCCGTTTCAGTGCTCTCAGATGTGTCTACGATATCATCGGCAGACACTGATCACAGGTGTGTTAAACATAAATTGCATTCTCTCTCTCTCTCTCTCTCTCTCTCTCTCTCTCTCTCTCTCTCTCTCTCTCTCTCTCTC